GCCTAATGAACTTTGAAATTTCCAAATTCTACAAACGACGTCGAAACCTATTGACCTCAAATTTTGCACACAAGTCACAAATGACCCTACTAACCTACTGCAACTTCCGGAATCAGAATCCAACCTCGATATCAAAAAGTCAACCCCCCTGTCAAACTTCACAAAAATTTGACTTTCGCCATTTCAAGCCTAATTCTACTCCCGACCTTCAAATCACAATCCGGACAGGCTCCTAAGTCCAGAATCACCCAACGGATCTAACGGAACCATCAAAATCCAATCCGAGGTAGTTTACACATAAGTCAATATCCGGTCGACTTTTCCAGCTTAAGATTTTAATTAAGAGACTAAGTGTCTCAATTCACTCCGGACCTAAACCAACTAACCCGGTAAGTCATATAGTAGTTGTAGAACACAAAAGAAGAAGAAAATGGGAAAACGGGGTTACAACTTTCTAAACGACAGGCCGGGTCGTTACACACGGCCTTTATTTCTCAATACCAATTTCAACAACAAGATATTCCACGATTTAACAACTTCAAGTAAAGAGCTCAATAATTAAGTAATGAATACGGAATAAAGGAAACAAGAACTTCAACTAAACTTGAGGGCAATTAGCATGTAAGAGAATAAGACAAGTAGACATGTGAAAATAGACTAAGAATGATGAATATAACATGTTAAGATAACTCAATTAAGGCATGAAAGGAATCTACATAGCTAAAATCGGTAATTTCTACATTTAGCCCATATACACACTCGTCACCTTGCGTACACGGCTTCCACACATCACAATTATCACAAACAACACCAATCCCAAGGGGAAATTCCCCCACAAGGGGTTAGGCAAGTCACTTACCTCAGATCACGCTAAATCAATCCACTTGTAAGCCTTTCCCTCAACCATACAAGAATTACTCAAATCCGGCCTCAAATCGCCTTTCAAATCCTCAAATTTTAGCCTAAGACATTTTTACCATTTTTCCCCAATTTTCCAACTCAAATCCCTAATTAGATGATGAAATTAACAATTCTTACCCCAATAATCTCTCTAAAAATCTCCCGAAATTTTCCTCCCCACCGAGCTCTCTAAGTCCAAAATATGAAATATGAAATATGAAATATGAAATATGAAATATGAAATAAACCCTCGATTTTGAAACTTAAATTTGCTATCCAACGATTCCTTCAACGTGAAAGCGGAATGAGCCTTGCGTTCGTGATGCACAAAAATACACAACTGCCAAAATCCTCTTCGCGAACGCGATGAACACTGAACCCAAGCCTACGCGAATGCGACTCCTCATATGCGAATGCGGTGAACAACTTCTTACACCTTCGCGAATCTGTGGCAATCTTCGCGAACGCAAAGAAAAATCCTCTCCTTCCTCCCAGATACCCTTCGCAAACGCGAGACCTCTCTCGTGAATGCGATGAAGGAAACCAAATATCAGGAAATTCAGCAGCTTCAACAATTCCTTAAGGTTCTGAAATGCGCCGAACAAGGTCCGAATCACACCCAAAGCCCCCTGGGCCTCAACCAAACATACCAACAAGTCCGAAAATATCATACGAACACACTCGAAGCGTCAAATCATATCAAACAACATTAGAATCATGGATAGTGCATCAATTCAAGCCTAAGAAACTTATGAACTTCCGAATTCCAAAACTAATGTCGATTCATACCAAAACAACTCCGATTGACTTCAAACTTTGCACACAAGTCATAAATGACATTACGGACCTATTCCAACTTCCAGAATCAGGATCCGGCCCTGATATCAATAAAGTCAACTCCCCGACAAACTTTCCAACCTTCTAAACCTTCAACTTTCCAACGTTCGCCACTTATTGACGAAATGACCTACGGACCTCCAAATCAACATCCGGACACGCTCCTAACTGAAAAATCACCATATGGAGCTATTGGAACCATCAAAGCTCCATTCCGGAGTCATCTTCACAAAAGTCAAACTACGGTCAACTCTAACAACTTAGGACTCCAACTTAGGGACTATGTGTCCCATTTCACTCCGGAACTCACCCGAAACCAAAAGTCAAACACCCCGGAAAGTCACATAATCACAATGTAGCATAGAGGAGGCAATAAATAGGGTATCGGGGCTAAAACACTCAAAACGACCAGCCGGGTCGTTAAAGTAGGCTTGCTCAATCTAAAATCAATTAGGACTTTTTTATGGTTGTAATGTGGGCTAAAGGACGGGTAGGATATATTTAGAAAAAGTGAGTCACCCTCCTAAGCTCTTTAATACATCACATAATCAACTTTATTCACATATTCTTCAATCCCAACTTCAATTCTACAAACAATATCACCCCCAAAACGTTCACTCTTTCTTTAAGTACCACGTTAATATATACCCACTAGCAAGGATAAGATGACATATTTTTATCTATATATATTTATTTTTTAATTTTTATGGATTTTTTTCTATTTTTTTCTTTTCTTTTCAAAAGCAATTTTTTTCAATTATAATCCCTACTAGTGGTGTATTCTTTAAAATACACGTGCACCTTTTTTCCTTTCATTGGTTCCACTCAAAAACCATCCAAGTGCCTTTCTTACATCCTTTTGCGCTTATCTTACAATTTAAGTTATTTAAGAGGTAAAAAGATTAAAATAATATCAATTAAAAACAAAAAGGGTATTTGCTTGTAATGTGGTTGCCAAATAAAAGTCTATAGGCTCAAAAGGCTTAACTAGGGATAATTTTATTTGTGATAGACATTAAGCTCAAAAAGATCAAAGGAAGCCTAAAGTTATTTTTCAAACCGAGCATCACCCAAAATTTTGTTTAACCTCACATGTCGGGATACTTCTAGACTCAACTGCAATATCATGGACTATACAAAAATCTCACCAAACATGGCACATGACTCTCTAAGGACGGTCTCATTTCAACTCTCGGACTAAGGGAAGTATTCACAGAGCCAAGAGATATTAAGCATTTAGCACAAAGTGAACACAAGTCAAGAAAACGAGACATAGGCGTCACAAAACATGCGATCGAATTCATAAATGCATCATGAACAGTTATAAACATAGAGAAGATACGACACATGCCAAAGCCTAAATATTCTACCATCAAACAAGTCAAAGGCACCTAGGAATCTCATCTTTCTTCCTCCATTCATTACTTAACTCTAATATACTCTAAATAAAATAACTACCCTATTCAAAATACATCCCATGAAAAAGAACCGAGGCACAAAGAAAACTTATAGGGGATTATTGCTACCTAAAAGGAAAATGACATATTTTTGTATTTTTATTTAGACGTTAATCCCTCAAAAACAACTGCCTAGGAGATCCATCATCGGAAAAAGTCTAATCTTTTTCTATGTTTTTTTGTTCATTTTTCCATATTTTTGTATTTTTTTTATTTTTATCTAACTAAGCAATGCCAAAATAGAAAGACAAGAAGCTAATCTAAAGCTAGACTACAAAAAATAATAAGAAGAAGCTAAGAGGTACTAATATACTATTTACCAACTAACGGGAATCTCCCACCCCACACTTAATTCATATAATGTCCTCAGAGCATAGAAAGCAAATAAAATTAAGAAGGGTGGTAAAGAAACTCCCTAGTCACTCCTCATCTTCCTCCGCAGCATAGAAGTCTCTATCAGCAACCTCCCACTCATTCTCATCATCAATAGTCAAACTGTGATACCATGAATCATGGTATAAAGTGGTCATAATGGCACCACACTTAAAATGTTATCACAGGGTTCGTCAATTCATTCAAGGTTACTCTGACTTCACCTTGTACCATAAAGCATATTCAAATCCTGAAAGCAACTCGCTCACACAATCACAATGTATCCACCATACTTTAATCAATATACCCCGACTGGCATGAGCCATCCCACATTTAAAATTTCATGCTAGGTAAGCTCACGAACTATTAGTGTATCAATCCCGGAGACTCAGGCTCTTATTGGGATGAAATTTTCCTTCGAGGCATTTAACGAACACTTGGTGCATACTAGGTCTGTATAAGATCTTGTGTGGGTGAGGATTTCCCCACCCTCTGAAATCGGCTTGGGAATAGCTTGCAAACACTCGCACAAGCAATAATAATGTCAATCCTATATTGTTTAAGGGGTTCTGTGGGCTGTGAGCGCGAGGGGGGGGGGATAACAGAATGTGTGTGTGTATGTGAAAGACAAAGAGGGAAGAGACTTACCTAGGCCTCGTGATCTAGGACGTGAGACTCTTCTCACCGTTGGGCATATGATGCGAGGGGAGGGGCGGGGGGGGAAGGTCGCGGCACGGGGTGTTTGGCGAGTTGGAGCTCAGCTCTGCGACGAAGTTAAGACCTCACTAGGCACTCTCTAGGGCGTGATTATGTGATTTTGCACTCTATATTTGACATTGTTATGTGTTTTGAACTCCTTATTGTGCTCCCGATTACATCCTTCAATTATATCTCATTTGTATCTATTAAAACAACCAAAATTCATAGAAGATCAACTCATTAGCGCTCACAAACCAAAAATAAAAATAAAATAAATTAAGTTAAACTACTCTATGAATTGGGTTGCCTCCCAATGAGCGCCTTACTTAATGTTGCGGCCTAGCGAATACAACATAACCATGGGTTTCCTCCCATAAAATACCTGATTTAACATCGCGATGCGACGTTGTTTCTTCCTTGTCAAGGATCCTTCAAGTAAATGGTTGAGATCACTCATTCTTCCCCAATCATGCCTTGATAGTGCTTCAATCTTTGCCCATTGTCTCTAAACTTGTTAATTCCATCCTTCGATTCCACATCCTCTACTCCCGAGGGAATTGCCTCTACCATACAAAATGGTCTCAACCATCTCGATTTCAATTTGCCCAAAAATAGTCTCAAACTCGAATTATACAATAACACTGCATCTCTAGGCCTAAAATTACGATCGAGAATGTTCTTATCATGCATTATCTTCATTCGCTCTTTGTACAGCCTGGTGCTTTCAAATGAGTGTTAACGGAATTCATCAGGTTCATGCAACTTTGTAACCCTACTTTTTCCCACAGCTTCAATATGAAGATTCAATATTCTCAACGCCCATAAAGCTCTATGCTCCAACTCCACTGGCAAGTGATATGCCTTATCAAATACCAATTTATACAGCGACATACCGATTTGGGTCTTGAATGCAGTGCGGTAAGCCCAGAGTGCATCATCCAACTTCCTTGACCAATCTGTTCTTATAGCATTTACTATCTTTGTCAACACATTCTTTATCTCTCTGTTCGATACCTCCACTTGCCCACTTGTTTGCGGGTGATACGGAGTGGCCACCTTGTGGTCAACTCCATACTTTTCTAATAGCTTTGATAAGGATCGGTTGCAGAAGTGAGTGCCACTGTCACTAGTTATTCCCCTTGGAGTGCCAAACCGGGTGAAAATGTTCCTTCTCATGAAACTAATGACTTCCTTTGCATCATTTGCAGGGAGTTCCACAACGTCCACTCATTTCTAGACATATTCCACTGCTACAACGATATACTTGTTACCATATGAGCTGACGAACTATCATGATCCAAAATCTCAACCAGTCGTGATGGCGTCTAACACACTTACTAGGCAAGCCGACAATCATATAATAGCTAAACATTTGAATGAAATAGGTTTCATAAACTCAACAACGGAAAAACTCAATAACTGATAAAAGTAACTAAAACTCTACTACAACCAACCCAGCACCTGGTGTCAACGAGTACATGAGCTACTAAGTATCAACATAGTTTGAAACTCTAGTACAACTGTCTGTGTAATAGAACATTACTAATAAAATGAAAAGAATGAGAGTCAAGGTCTGCGGGCGTCATAGAAGCTACCTCAAGATCTCCAAGCAGGTACTAGAACTAATCAAACGATCACCGCGTCCAGATATACCTGGATCTGCACACGAAGTGCAGAGTGTAGTATGAGTACAACGACCCAATGTACTCAATAAGTATCGTAGCTAACCTTGATGAGGTAAAAGAGGCATCAATTATAAATGATACTAGCTATCACCTGTACAGTTTCATCTTTTTAACAAGTACAAAGCAATAATGAAATCAAGTCCTAAACATAGTAAAAAACATCTATGTGTATGTGTATAGTTTCTCAAATACTCTGTTCAGTCAATATTTGGCATATAGAGATGATATGCAGTTAAATCAGGTAAATTATCACAAAATTTATAAGTAAGATGAAATGCAAAATCCAAACAAACACTGGCCAGATTTTCTCAACCTTTCCAATTCCATACCAAACCACTGATCAGATTTCCTCAATATCCGCATGTACACCATCAAGACAGAAACATGAGAGGGTGATCCTAGGAGGATAGATCCATATCCACACGCAAGCACAGCCAATTCAACGTGCTACTAGCCCGGTGTGGTCACAAGCTCAATATCATAATCCATCGGGCATGGTCAAAGGCTCAATATCATAATCTTCCCGGCGTGGTCACAGGTACAACAACACAATCCGCCCGGCGTGGTTACAGGCATAACAACACAATCAGCCCGGCGTGGTCACAAGCATAACAACACAATCCTCCTGGTATGGTCGCAGGCATAACAATACAATTTTCCCAACATGGTCACAAGCATAACAATACAATCTGCCATGCGTGATCATAGGCACCCAGTCCAATCATATCACACAGGAGCAAATAACAAGAATACATATACGTGATGAATAATTAACAAATCTCATGCTCCTGGACTGGTAAAAGTGATATGCTAAGTGTAGGCATATGCAAAGTGTTCTATCATAGCTCGAATCGGCGAATCTCATCACAGAATAACATTTATCAATTTCATTCATTGATTAAACCTCTACATAGCCTCTAACATGGCTCAAATAGTTCACAACAATGTTACAAAAGTGAGAAACATCATAGCTTAAAGCTTAACAGACAAATCCAAGCATATCATAGCCTAAGGACAACCCGAGCATGGATAAATACACCCGGTGTGAGCATATAGGCTAAAACCCAGAATAATTCAGGAACTAGTGCCTCAACCAAGTTTAGATTAGATACTTACCTCAAGTAAGCCAAATTACTCCCTTAACAAGCCCTTCCCGCGTGTATCAATCTCTGGAAAGCCCGAATCTAGCCAAAATAATGCAATACTATCAATAAAATCCATAGGAAGTGATTCCAAAAGATAAAGCTAAGGTCTTTAACTCAAATCAAAAAGTCAACCAAAAAAGTCAACCCCGGGCTCGCACCTCGAAACTTGATAAAATTTATAAATTCCGAACACCCATTCAATTACGAGTCCAACTATAACAAAATCATCCAATTCCAATCACAAATCGCCCATCTAATCCACAAATTTCACTCTCCAATAACATAGTCCAAAAATTCCCAAATTTTAACTTAGATTCATGAGAAATAGGTGAAATAATCAATGGGTATTCAATATTTATGGACAAAAGTGATTAAAAGTCACTTACCTCTTCACTCTAGGTGAAAACATCTCCAAACATCGCCCTAGTCCGCACTCCAGAATTCCCAAAATGAAAGAAAAACTCAAACCCTCGATTTTAAATCACTGCCCAGCACTTTCGCTTCTGCGGGCTAAAGTACCGCACCTGCGGTTCCGCTTTTACGGAAAAAGTCTCATTTATGTGAAGACAACTTAAACACCGACTAGCTGCTTTTGCGGCCAAAATCCCGCTATTGCGGGTCTGCTTCTGCGGTCTACCAAGAGCTCCTGTGCGCCCACACCTGTGGGAAACATCTGTATTTGCGATTCCTGCCCATCACGCCAAACTCTACTTTTGTGGAACGACCATCGCAGAAGCGACTTCCCTTCGGCGTAACCCAACTTGCTTCTGCGATAATCCCCAAGCCGAGCCCCTTCCGCACCTGCGGTCAAGCCCACCGCGGATGCGGTTACACCAGCAACCCAAATTCTTCAACAGTGCATTAAGTCTAACTTTGGATCTATTAGCCAAATGTAATTTACCTAAGGCCCCCGAGACCTCATCCAAATATACCAACATATCTTAAAACATCATACAAACTTAGTTGAAGCCTCAAATCGCATCAAACAACATCAAAAACATGAATTGCACCCCAATTCAAGCCTATTAAAACTAATGGATTTCCAACTTCTAAAATCAATGCTGAAACCTGTCAAACCAGCTCCGATTGAACTCAAATTTTGCACAAAAGTAATAAATGTCACAATGGAGCTACTCAAACTCTCGGAACCAAAATTTGAGCCCAGTATCAACAAAGTCAACTTTCGGTCAAACTTCTCAACCTTTCAAACCTTCAACTTTTCAATTTTCGCCAATTCAAGCCAAAACGACCTACGGGCCTCCAAATCAATATCCGGACATACTCCTAAGTCCAAAATTACCATATTGAGCTAACGAAACATCAAAACTCCATTCCAGAGCCATTTACTCATAAGTCAACATCCGTTCAACTCTTTCAACTTAAGTTCTAACCTTGGGACTAAGTGTCCCAATTCATTCTGAAACATCCCCGGAACCTAACCAACCACCACGGCAAGTCATGTAAACACAAGTGAACATAAAATAAGTGATAAACAGGGGAACGAGGCTACAATACACAAGATGATTGTCTGGGTAGTCATACGAATGTCTCCATAAAATCTATTCCCCACACATCAAACACCAACACTTCCTAAATTTGATTCATAGGCATCTCATGTCGATGGGAGATATTTCCCGTCCTTTGTCACTCAACACAGCCTTTCACCAAAAAGTGTGCATCTTTGAACTGGGTTGGCCAGTAAAAGCCAGACTCTAACAACTTTGCAACTATCCTTACTCCTTCAAAGTGGCCACCATATGGGGATGTGTGACAAGCCTGCAAAATAGAAGATTGGTCTATCTCGGGGATACATATCTGGATAATGTTATCCACACATATTTTAAACAAATATGGCTCATCCCAGAAGTATATTCGACCATCACGAAGGAACTTTTTCTTTTGCACATAAGACAAGTCATAGGGAACAATATCGCTTGCTAAGTTATTTGCAATATCAGCATACCATGGCGGCCCCTCCAGACTTGCTACCAAAGGTTGTTCATCCACGAACGTCTCCGAGATCTCTTCTATCTCCACCTTCTTTTCGGCTCTTTCAAGCCTAGACAAGTGACATGTCACTTGGTTCTCCATTCCTTTTCTGTCACGGATTTCCAAGTTAAATTCTTGCAGTAGTAGCACCCAATGAATCAGGTGTGGCTTTGACTCCTTTTTTTGATTAAGTACCTGAGAGCAGCATGGTCAGTGTAAACAATTACCTTTGATCTATTAGGTACGACCTTGTCAGTCACAGTATAGTTGAGCTGGGCACCACTCAAGGTCCTACTCGCATAGTAGATGGGGTGCATGACCTTGTCATTTCGTTGCCCCAAGACTGCTACCATAGCATAGTCACTCGCATCACATATGAGTTCAAATGGTTGCTCCCAGTCGGATGCAACTATAATGGGTGCAGTCACCGGTCTCTTCTTCAACTCCTAAAAAGCTACCTTACAGTCATTAGAAAACACAAAGGGGTGATCATTTATAAGCAATTTATATAAAGGGTTAGAAATTATTGAGAAATACTTTATAAATCTCATGTACAAGTCGTCATGACCAAGAAAACTTCTTATTGCTTTGACAGACGTGGGTGGTGGCAACTTCTCTATCACATCCACTTTAGCACAGTCAACCTCAATACCTTTACTTGATACTAGGTGTCCCAAGACTATACCTTCCTATACCATAAAATGTCACTTTTCCCAGTTCAATACCAAATTTGCCTCTATACACCTTTCTAATACTCTTTTCAAATTTCTTAAACATTCATCAAATGAATTTCCCACCACTGAGAAATCATTCATGAACACTTCCATAATATCTTCTACCATATCAGTAAAAATGGCCATCATGCACCTTTAGAATGTGGCGGGTGCATTGCATAGGCCAAATAACATCCTCCGAAAAGCATAAATCACATATGGGCAGGTGAATGATATTTTCTCTCTATCCTCGGGGGCAATAAAGATCTGGTCATACCCCGAGTACCCATCCAGGAAGCAAAAGTGAGATTCCTCGGCCAATCTATCTAACATCTAATCTAAGAATGAAATGTAACATTGTCCTTTTGGGTGGCTTTATTTAGTTTTTTGTAGTCCATACAGATTCACCAACATGTGACTTTTCTATTTAAGATCTACTCATTATTCTCGTTTTGTACCACAGTCATCCCACCTTTCTTTGGGACACATTAAACTGGGCTAACCCAGCTATTGTCTGAGATGGAAAAAATAATTCCCGCATCTAGCCACTTGATCGCCTCTTTCTTTACTATTTCCTTCATATTCGAGTTCAGCCTTCTTTGATGTTCCCTAGAAGGTTTGTATCCTTCTTCCAGTATAATCTT